CGATAAAGTGTCATTGTGTTTTGACAATCTTCTGCTCCTCTTCTTTTGGTACGTCTGGCACCTGATACAATTTTTAGCTCAATGCTCTCTGGTGTGATGTCGCTATAGAATGCTTATACAATTGTAGATAATTAAATTACTGCTGATTTATTGATGCAGTGACTCATTCGGAAAACGTTGCACGCTAAATGGATGCCGGGTGTTTGAGTATGATCGATCGCATAAGAAATATGTATTTCACTTTCAGTTAAGAGGTAAATTAACGCATACTGACGCATTTTTATCAACTGGCTCGATTATAATCTAATGTGAATAATATTTACTAATAGCATTATAGTTGCTAACAAATTTTGAACTTAGTTTTTCCTTCTTTTAGAATGTTAGTCGTAAAAATTGCACAAGATGTATTATCGAATTATTTTCTGATAATCATTTTGTGTTTTACGGTAGTCGATTCATTAAATTTTCTGCTGCAAAGTGAAATTAATTTATTAATCGCAAAACACAAGGTTGTTATAATTGACGTAAAATGTTGTAAATTTATGAAATTATTTTCTCACACTCGTTTATTTGCCGAGTGTTTCACTTGACTTTTTCAATCTAAAGGCAATGGAGAGCAGTCGATAATTTTCTAACAGTTATATGAAAACGTGATTCATTATTTAGTTACAAGTTTATTGTTTCGGCTTTGAAAATAATAAAAAGTTTTCTACAAAAAATAATTACATATTTCAGTAACTCTGATCTATGAATTGATTGTTCCCCTAAACATTCCTTTCATTGTAATTACAGTTGGCACTCCTACACTCCACAAAAACTACAGTTAACCTGTTACAAGTACGTCATACATACATTAAAGATCGATACTCGCCTTGCACCCTTGCACTTAGGACTACAATGGTCATATAAGAAAGTAGGCCAACTGAGACAAGAGAGAGAGAGAGAGAGAGAAAGAATAATTAATTCATCGCGAGCGCGGGAATTAGGGAATTGAATCTGCCTCAAAGGCAGGCGTCGAATTGATCTTCTCCGAGACATGCGCGCTTTGGGTGGCTGGCAAACTATGCGGGTCGTCGACCATGTTGCTGGCGTTTATAACGTGGCATTTGACGTTGCAGGCCTGACTAACACCACTACACATCCACCTACACTTATGGATACCGACAGTCAAAGTGAACTCGAAAGGTATGTTCGTTTCTGCGTGTGAAAGAAGATTCAATGTGAAAATTGAACAGTCGGTGGAATGAAAAAAAGTTGGTTTTAACCTCGAAAACGTTGCTCGTGCGCGAATCACTCGCGGAGACCTATGTACTTGTATGTTACATAGGCGATGGACGAACTCGCATACAAGTCGTGTATTTTTAGATGGCAAGTGTTTCCTCTACCTGTTGCCTAACTTTGCTTTATCGACTAAGAAGGTTATTAAGTTTGATTGTTGAATGTATTTGAAGGATAATTACGTTTCACCATGTTCTCATTGTTGAAACAACCCTTTAAAAATATTGACTTGTTTCCGACTATATACATTTATCATGGAGACTGAAAAGTAGTACACGAGCTTGATATTATGCAAGGCAATGCGATTGTTGGTTTATGTACAATATAAGAGAATTAAACAAGTAAGTGGCTTTATTGAAAGTATCAGTTTTTAATTTACAAAAACTTAACGCTTTCATTTATCGAAATGTTGTTATTTATCTGAGGATGCAATTTCTATTTCTTTTTTGGATTTCATTTGCAGCGTTTGTTTATAACAAAAATATACGATTAAATTGACTTTTGAAGTACTAGTTCAAGCACTTTATATAAATAATCAATTAGACAAAAATAATTAATTGAGTCTGAAAATAGACTCATGCCACTGTTTTGAAGTGTCTTTTTTTTCTAATTCTTTAATTTAATAATATAACAAAATAAAATATTCAATAAGTTCATGATCCTCTTTCGGGTTAAGATTCATAGTGTCATAGACCGTAAAAATTAACTTTTCATCAATTGTCTGACTAAGCATATCTTTGATATCGTTTAATTGACAAAACAACAGATTAATATACACAAAATCGTAGCTGTAGGATTACTGTAACTCAAGTCAAAGGAAATCATACTTAAAATTTTTATTAAAGAAAACTGTACGTTTCTCAATATTCACAAGTCTTTACAAACTACAAAATAAATAAAAAGTTCAGTTGAGTTCTCATATATACGCAAAAACTACACAAAACACAGCATCACTTTCTTTATTCTCTAACACGCGACTTTTTCATACTCACTGAAAGTGCGCCACATAAAAACAAAAGAAGTTCAAAATCATGTAGGTAATCGCGTCTCTTTGGTGACCCGAAAAAGCCAAAAGGAAAAGCAGCTTTCGAAACAATGGCCGCGTGAGCAGCCTAGACCTGTTTGAGCATGACGACAGGGCGGTGGCAACGTCAACCGGTCGTCACAGATGATCGATTGCGTATGTAAGCATCATGGGCACTCGGTAATCGACACAAGGCCTGTTCAAATTGCGCGCATCTGGGTGTGTCGCTCATGATCAATAACTTTTACAGTTGCAATTTATTACTACTATATCTAAGGGAGATTTAACATGCTTTTCGTATCACGTTAAACAACTCAAATTTTTCAAATGTCTTATGCGATTGCCAATCGTAGGCCAAGCTAAAATCAAACGTTTGATAATCTAATGTTGGAAAACGTGTTTAAAATAATAAACCCCGTAAGAAATATTCAAGCAATAAAATAACTAATAATCGAAATTACAATTTACGTTCTGTTAGATTGCAAATAATAGCGTTGCTCTCAGTTGCACTTCGATTTGTTTTGGCGCTTTATTTGTCAATGACTGACTTACCTATTCGGCGTATTGACATCCACTAGTTTATCTAAACTATTCCATGTCATCAAGCTTATGTTTTGTCACTACAGCTATCATCATAGCATATATACAAGTCAATGAAATTACATTATTGGATCAATCGCGGTGTATTTATTATTATTTTCAAACATTAAGATAAAAATCTTTAACGGAAAAGTCCGAGCGTGTATAAATATTGCGTTTTGAAAACTCAGTTATTATAACTTATACGCATGCAACACACATATCAGTGTCGCAAAAATATCGGATTTCCAAAGCGCACAAAGCGGCAAAGGAGCACGTTATGTGTACGTACGCATACGATACGATATATATCCAACTATGCGCGTATGCGCGCGTGGTGGAATCTCGTTAATTTTTACAGCATGGAACGCGTTTCCCTTTCGCCGTTCGCACGCACCTCTGCATACCACAGCCATGACAGCCGATTTCATTTTCCTTTCCTCGTTTTTTTTTTAGTTCTCTGTCGCTGCTTGATAACGATTACGTGAATGGCTTGGCGATTATCCTGATTGCATCTTGCTCCTATACTCATGGCAGTATTTATTATGCGCTTCTCTCTCCTTTGTGCACCGTCATTATCGCAATTGCCACACGCTTAAGAACCTTGATACTTTTTTTTGTATTTACGCGGAAAAAACCAATCTCCTGGAAAGTCTTCTTGTTTTTATATCGTACAGTGGTTCGCTGCTTTGAATCCAACTTGTAATCAACCTTTGTAACGTTTTTAACATGTATACTTTCTGTGCCGTTTGGATATTGACAGAAACGATTGTAATAGAAACATGCATGAATGCTTTTTCCATGAATGAGAAAAAGTGTCGATGACGTGTGCATGAGCTGAATCGAGGCTTTTTCGATGATATTAAATTGCAATTGCGGCGATGCCGATTGTATTCGTGAAGTCATTCGAGCCGAGTACAAAGAATGTCGTTATTCTCAACCTCCAGCAAAGTAATAAACATTTAAACATTCATGACGGTAGTTACCACTGGCAAGTTTACTGCAAGATTTCTCCACATTCAAGAGAAAGTTCCTCAACTGTCTACTTTGAATGTTTATCTACGAGAAAATTCCGTTAATAAAGCGAGAAACAATGGTTCGATATTTGCATGCCTTATTCTGTAACTTTGAAATGTTTTTGTGCGCTATTGTATACTGATGAATTACAGTTAATTTCATCAGCGAAGTCACTAACTGTAAAGCATTGATTTTTTAAGATACATTAGATCGAAAAAAATTGTGAAATACAGACATATTTTTATTGAATTTGCTCTTGAATTTAATTTATTATTTTTTCCAACTATTGAATTTTTACAAAGATTGCATTATCAGGAACTCAAGATAAACATTTGTGCTACTATTACTACGAATTTAAATGAAAAGTGAAATCGATTCAAAAATAAAGATCTGAAAAACTAAAAAGTATTATCTCAACCTTCGTTAAGATAGCTATATGATCATTGAGCTGCATTCTTCACACGCAGGATTTCGTGTAAACCCTTTCACCACGTTCTAGAAATTCCGAGCTTGTCGTTTCATCACTCAATCTTACGCTCAAAAGATCGGGAACTGCATTACCGATCGACCATCTGATGAGAATTGCTGTAATTGATGTTCGCTCCTTTAGTCTCAGTCCGCTTTTTGGGTCCGTATTGTGCGCGTGTGGAAATATAAGCTCTGTCAAAGAAGTTTTCTTTTTCTCTCCCTGCGTACAGAGGGAATCCGCGTTGGTGAGGGTAATAACGAAGTGCTCATTAAATGTGGATTATTAATGGGATCAGCTGATTTGCACGTGCTCTCTTGTGCTGATGAGCTTCGCTCGCGTATCTTATCTCCATACAGATGTTTTCTTCTTCTTCCTTCTAATCGCACGCGATATTACAGAAACGGCAATGTATGGAAATCTCGAGACTGAATAACCAAAACATTTTCGATACGACGCGGTTTATCCTCTTTTCCACGATGGCGCACCTTCACACATCAAGGCTTAATTATCAACTGCGCACATGTGCATCGCGGACCAAGAAGTGCAGCGTCACGTTCGCGCGCGACCACGTCTCCTGGGATATAAATGAGCCATTTGCGTTTATGTTACGTAATTAGATTTTTCGTGTTTTCACCTGACATGTACAGTTACTTCTTGAATTTTAATTCCTTTGTTCGTTTGGTTGGTATTTGGAAAGTTCTTCATTTGTTTTGTTTTGTTTTTTATGCTTTGGTTATGAGTTTCGAAGGATTAATGGAAAAATTTCGGGATATGATTGTGGTTGATATTAACAAAGCGTTACGTTGGTTTATTTTTCTTTGGTAATTTTCTCTAAAAATATTGGTGGGACAATGGCAAGATATTTTCAACTGGTTTTTCCTTAATAAATCATTGTTATACGTGAGAAGAAATCTAAATATTCAAACACATTTTGGATTTAGATTGTTTATATCGTTGTAATCGCATGATATTTAGATGAATAAGAAATACAAAAAATTAATATTTACTATAAAACAATCCAAAAAATATTAAAAGAAATTTTGTTTCTTTAATTTTTTAATTTTTTCATGAAACTATTTTTATTTAACATATTAATTTAATTCATTATTTTATTTCACGTTAAACATAAATAATAGACAACAGAATCTTACATTTTTCATTTTTTTAAGTATAATGCATCACATTTCAAATTGTACATGTTAAAGCAACATTAAGATTAATGTGATTTAAAAGTCATTGCTCCGCTGCAAATGTTTAAGAATTACTATTTTTCGATGCAACCTAATCACTCGTTTGATTGAGTTTGTTATGTGGGCCTAATCAAAATCTACAGAACCATTCTCAACATCATTTAACCAGTGTATTATGATATAATGAAATTACATTTTCAATATTTTCGGAGTTTATATGTCTATCGAACTGATATATTTCATTTCGTAGATTGAATTTAAATTTTTATGTGAAATTTTTGATATTGTATAAAAATTATATAGACATTTAATGAAAAGACTTGGCAGTAAAAGAAATACCTTTACTGCGCCAGTTAATCAGTCAACAAAATTTGATATTAATGGAATTCTGGAAATTCCTTGTACATTCGCAATTGAAACCTTGAGTCGAAAAACCAGTTGTGACTGTTATTTACCAAATTGAACTTGTCTCACATTTGCTGTGATTCTTTCTTGAAATTTTTATTAAACACCTTTCACTATAAGAGTTTTGAAACGTCTCTCAATTAAATGCATGATGAAAGTTTTTGGCAAATAAAATATCATGTTACTTTCCAGACCAAGTTTCATATTATACCAAGACAGAGGTATTTAAAATTACATGCATAACAATAATTTAATTGCGCATACAATGCAATATAAAAAATTATGCAGCGTTCTATTAAAAGATTTCAGCTGACAATACTGAGAACTTCTTAACTTTGCAAAGTCTGACTGCATTTATATCTTTGGTACAAAGCGCCAAAACACTCAATATAAATAGTTTCCGACGCCTAGATATGCTTAAAATACTCAATTACTCTCATCAATCATGCAAACTATCTAATTTGCAGTTGTGTATTATAACAGCTCAATTAATCCAAAGAATCAGAACACGTTCTGATTTCAACCGCTGGACGAAACTTACGTAATGCAAATTCCACCAGCACACGTAATCATGGTTGTGACTCGCGTATGTGCGTGTACATATCAAGGTGCAATTAGATTGGAATACTGCAGTATGTACCGTCTCAATTGATCGCAACCGTTTGTAAAATTCAGGAGCTTTCAGAAAAACACGGAGCTTTGTTTGGACTTTGTAGCTTATAGGCGTCTAGCGCTCGATAAATGTGAAAGCTCCTTCGTATAAAGTGCGACTTTGCATATCTTCAAACTTCACGTTCGTGAGTGTCTAACATTTTTTTTTCGTATATTCTCATTCAAGCCATTGTTTTTATGTGCAAAAGGGAATGACTTCTGATGACGCAATCTGTACTTTTCCATGCTGCACTTCAATTTGGGAGATGTTTGTTTATTTTCCATTCTTAGATTTCTTCGTTACGTTATTACAACATCAGCTGGAAATATTGCATTAAAGGAAGGTTTCGAATATTATTCATAATGATTTCGTCGCAATCGGAAAAAATGTGTTAGTTGAAGTATATATTAATAATTGCCTTTTAAACTTTTAATGTGTTGACTCTTTAATTGGAAACTGATAATCGTTTACTGTTCGTTCCATTACTACTTAATTTCTCAAAGTTATCCTTTCTAGATTCTTGAACTAGTCATAAAAAGTTAAGGAATCTATAGAATTGCTTTTTTTCAGACTCTTTTATTAAAAAAAACTTCTGAAAAGATTTTTTCTTATAAATGAGACAATAAACAATTTTCAGAAAATTCTCTTTAGATATTTAAATTGATTTAATTACAGTTTCAATGAAGATATGATTTGTGCAATTATATGTTACCAACCAGTTCGTAGGTTAGAATTATTACTAAGAAATTATATAACAAAAAAATACCGCAATAAATTTTCATGTTTTTAATCACTCGTGATACAAGTAAATGTGAAACAGCATAAAATATAAATCCACATTAGCAAGCACATTCATTGAATTTTCAAACTTATAGAATACAAAAACAAAAAAATCTCACGGAAGTAAATCGGTTTCAAACGAAGAACAAGAAAATGTCTCGCGAGGAAGATGACGGCGAATGGTGTTGTGGCGTAGGTGATCAGGTGTCGCCTTTGCGCGAAATACCACTGAACGGCGACGCTGCGAGTGGCTTCGATTTTGAACAGCTAACACTACGACAGGCCCGCGTGCTCAGGTAATGACTCAGTTGTCGTCGTCGTCGTCGTCGTCGTCGTCGTCGTCGTCGTCGTCGTCACCGGAGAATGTGCTCCGTATGTGAGAGTTCGTAAACGTCAGACCCGTGCTAAATTACGCATTTTGTTCTCAAGCAGGGAACGGACAAAATTTATGACTTGCTGTTTAGATGAAATTATTGTATGAATATCATGTTACGTGATAATATTTTAAAGGATCTGTGTCCATAAATTGTGCCTTTGCAAACAGCTCGTTCGCTCGATTTTGGGGGAGACTAAGATGGTTATAATTATTTTTATATGAAAAAAAAGATTCAAAACTTATCTTATCGTAAACAGATTTCTAGTATTCAATCCTAAAAAAAAGCTTTTTCGACACTGTGCGCAAATTATGTCTTTCCCGCTCGGCAAAAAGCGTACGTTAAAAATGGCACTTTCTATACGTCGTGTCGAAAAATACAGTACGACACATGTTCGCGAAAGAGATTCTTGTATCACAATGTATTACTTAATAATTTGCGCTAAGCATTTGGTGCGCGTTACAAACTTACTGATAATCTAAATATATCTGCAAAACTTGCATTTTTTAAAATCAAATTAGATTATTTTTCATATAATCAAATTTATAAGCAAACAAAATAATGTTTTATAAATTTGTAATAAATTCTAACTGATATTGGTTTTTGATAAATGCTTTTAGTAAACGTTTTTGATAAGCTTGTGATGCGTCAGGTTTTATATGTTTAAAGCATGATTTATTAAAGACTGTTCGATTTTTAATTATCGAGTATGATTAAACTAATATTTTCATTGTCTTACATTAAGTACTCTGACGCTTATGTTGCAATTATTTCGCAATAAAAATTATAGGTTTTTATTTTTTCGAAAACATTAAAAATTTACGGCCAACAATATTTAGTTGTTTTACGAGCATAAATAATAGAAACCTGATATTTTTATTACAGGAGGACAAGGAGCCTTAACGCGCCCAGTCCCATTCAACAGTTTGGACCATGTGGTCGTATTATGAAAAACTCAGCGATGGTTATGTGAGTATATAAACAACAATAATCAATAAACCCATAAACAATATTTCAAAATTTACACTTCCGATGTGTTTGGTGATAAAAGTTTACAAGAGTAATAATTGAAATACCAGCGACATGCGTAAATAATCGCGTATACACGTGTCTTTCCGCACTTGCGCAATAATATTAAACAAATAGTCGAGGAACGGCGTCGCAATGGAAAATTAAATATTAATCGACAGAAACTCACCATTTGCAATTGCTAAGCCACTGATCTTTCGTCTTAATGAGTGATTACACGCAAATATAACCCCTATATATAACTACATAAGAAGTCCGAAAAAAGTTAGAAATAGTCATTACTTATCTTATCGATAATTAATGTGATTCTCTACTTTAATTAACGCGTTACAAGTCAATATTGTTGGCAATTCTAGGTAATTAATTGTTTTTAATTAATACTTCGTTTGAAGTTTCTGTTAACGATCATGATGCCATTCTATTCGAATCATGGAAATTTCTAAGGTAATCGATAAAATCTTGGAAAATAATTGTTCATTTATCGAATGAAACAAACAAATTATTTGTTGTATCAACATATACACGTATGATTACTTTGTAGTATAGCAAAAAACCATGACATGATTTATAACGTATAGCTCGAGCGATTGTTTTTTCTTTTAGCAATTGAAGTCAATTGTGCAAGAATCATGTGTCAAAAAACGTAATTGTCTCATCTTTCATTTACTCTGACAATCATCGAGATTGTCAGAGGAAATGAAGGATTTAATGAAGTACATGTGAAAATATTATGGAAATAGACAATAGCTTTACAGTTTTAAATTCGTCAGTTCAACGATAGAACTTTCTTGAAGGTTTTACATATTGAATAATTCAAAACAATAGTGACTTAACATCTATTATTCCGTAAGCCGTTGATTGTTAGATAAGAAAAATCGTCTTCTTATTTTCGATTCAAATGAGACTTCAGACCTTTTCAAATTAGCAAACAAACACAGTGCAGTGTCACTCGCGTGTCCCATGTACGCTCGTCTCATGCATGTGCATCGTTGTGATTGGACTATTGCAAACGAACAACAATAACAAAAAATACACCTAAAAAATGAGCAATAACCTTTCATTTATATAAGTTTGCAATCAGTAGGTTATAATTAATTTTTTTCATAAGTATTATTAACGTAGCGAGTTATAAAGTGGATAATGTAAAATCATCAAACAATATCCGATTTATTTTCATACTCATTGTTATTTTTGAAAAGTCATTCGATTAAAATTGTTGGTAAAAAAAATAACGTAATTGTGTATAATAATTTAACCAATAAAAGAACAAACTTTGGAAGTATTGATTTACATTGTCGAACATGAATATTTATAAATCATATATACCTCCACTACTCAATTTGTAGATTAACTTATGTATGCATGTCAAGTAACATGCGATGAACATTACTATCTGTTATTTCAGTACACGGTAAATGTAGCTTACATTTTAGTATCGTCTTATTTCCAAAATAAAATGTGAATTGTATCATTGCATTTCTTTTCTGTATGAGTTGATGCACATTGAAATAAATAAAAGAAATGTTCATAAAGCCGATCACTGTAAAGCGCAGTTGATTTAATCTGATACTGCGAGACATTGGGATGCAAAAATAGGAGACATGCAGGCACTGCATGAATCATCACAATAATTATCATTTACGAGTGTACAATCAACTCGGAAATCGATTTCAGCGTTCTTTATTTGAAAAGACGAACTGAGATTATTCATATCGATGACTTATCGACGGAATTATCGGAACTGCAAAAAGTGCATCAATCGAACATTTCGCTGTCGTCTCCGTTATGTGCTAAGTCTAATTTGAAATGGTTCGAGCTACCACCCAAATCTCAGCGATAGCCAAAAGCGAGCACAAAAGCCTTTGTCGAGAGCCATTGGTCTTCTATAAGAGTACGCGAGCCACAGACATTATACACAAGTGTAAGAGTGTACATCGAAGGCACCCAGCTGATAAGCTTCTTGCTGCGGCTCGAAGCCACTTGGCGGGGCGCATGCGCGTGCGCGTACTACGCGTGTGCAAGCAGCGCTTAGCCGACGATTGTTGTTTGCGCGAGTTAAAAAACGCGCCGCCAAGCTGAGCGTTCAGTAGGCGCGACGTCGACACGAGGAACGGAGGATCGATCGTACGACCTAATTATCGATCATCGTATCGCGCACTTGCAAAAAAGTCCTGTTTTTAAAGTCGGAGAAAAAAATTAGTCGTCATGGTCGGTACTGTAAGGATGGTAGCCAAGCGTAATAGAAACAACAACGAGCCGCCAAAACCACGTTACGCACTGTACGTCTAATTATCGCACTTTGGCAATGATGATTTCTTTTTTCATTTTTCGGGCCGATGGTTGTGCCTTGTGTGCGTGCTCGCTGAAGGTGCCTTCTCTTTTTTTATAGACTTTGTGAAGTGAACTTTGAAATGTTACTTACTTTTTGTTTGAAGGCGTCGTATCAAGGGGACGTGAGAAAAAAAGTGATATAAGAAATCTTAAACAGTTTTCATGTGCTATCCATAAATTTTGTTTGTTTTCTTGCGTATCTGAAGATTCATTATAAAATAAAAGCATAATCTATATTTTTGAGTGATAATTATGATCAATTATGAATTAAATATATTCAATTTCGATATTTTTTTGAATCAACAGAAAAACGTTGTCATTTACTCTAACAATATAAAATATGTAAAATATGTAATTTTTACTTTTCGTGATCAAAAGGCAAGACACATAATTGTATAATTGTAAAAGTTGTGGTAGGTTATTTTCCGAACACATTGTGGTTCATTGGAAAATTTAAAATCAGCATGTTGGATTTAATTCAACATTTGTAATCTGTTAAAAAAAGAAACTAAATAAACCAATCTAACATCAAGCTCCAATGCACTGCGTGTTTCCAATAAATTTTCATCAGACTGTCGAAAGAAAGACGCACTTAAAAATCTGAAATGATCAGGGAAAAAGAGAGAGCGCATATCGCGATAATCAACGTAATCAAGCGGCAAACATTAAAGTACTCGTTAAAGCATTGATCGGTGCCAGAATCACGTTGGAACTCGTGTGACATGTAGCATGAACTAACGAGAATACTGAATTTGACGAACTTCTTTGCATAATGCGACTATATCAGCAATATTCTCAGGAGTTTGTTCACCTCCTATTTTCTCGTCGATTGATGCAAGTTTCATGTTTATTGTGAAAGGTGTTTACTTTGGTGAACGCGGAAAAATTAGATTTCAGAATACAACAGTTTTCGAGGTCACTGTGGTTCGGTCTTAGACTTTCAGAATTGTGAAAAAAATGATTTTCTTGTATCCAAGGCTACATTAATCTTTTCAATAATTCACGCAGTTGTTTACTGTATGGCTGATCAATTGCCTTAATTAAAGTGCTTTTTATTCATTTTTTTAATTGAAAATTCATCATTGTTTATGGGATTGTTGTAATATGAATAACATTTGAATAATGTTATAACATGTTAAGTTTCTCAAAACGATGTATGTACACAATTTATATAATTCAAATAAAAAATAGTTAGCGATTTGTCGTTCAAACAGTATGACGAAGTAAGCTATGTCTAATAATATAATTTAGTAAAATCCATTTAAATTTGAATAAATTCATTTACATGAAAATGTAATAGACTTTCCTTTTGTACGTCAATCAACATTGAAATACACCCAATAAAAGCAATACACGTACGTTTTCCACGAGTTTAAAATGATATCTATCAATAAAACATTTATCTTCAACAAGATTTCGAAGTTAAAATTTGGTTTTTCTAGGACCATTCAAGATCCAGCCTCACAGAGGTTGACTTGGTACAAACCACCGCTCACCGTCCTTGTGATCAAGAAGGTCCGTGATTCGTCTGTGTTGCCACCGTTCGTACAGCTTGTCACATGGCTGATCGAGGTGAGTACATTTCTTGTTTGAAATTCTCTTTCACTCTCCTTCATTTCATTTCGTGATCTTCGTGGATTGGCGATCTCGTGAAAAGTATTCCCCAAGTTAATGGTTCTCTTTTCAGTAGCTTCGTACGTTGTCAATATTGACTCAAGATAAAACTGACACGCGGATTCTTTATCGCAGCAGCTTGGCTTTTGTGACTTAGACGTCTTTCCCGTTCATTTATATTAGGTCATTGAACGAAATTCATTGTTCAATCAATTCGACAAGCGTAAAATTAAATCACCGAACATGTAAATCATTCATTTCTGAATAGATAAGCACCCGTTGATTTGTTGATTGTGCATTCCACTGTTTGATGATATTATATATGGAATTTTCAAAAAGTAGTCTCCTTAAACCTTGAAGTCATTTTTAATTGATGTGGATCATAAAATAATCTATAGGATTATATATCTTTTTATTTAAAAAAAAACATAATTCACATGCTGCAGAAAAAGTAAATTAAAGATAACATTCGACATATTCAACGATAAATATTAAATATACAATTATCAATCAATATAATAGTAAAATTAGTACAGTACACGCGTGATATCACTGACGCTCGTTATTAGTCAGCGTGACTCCTTCTCTGATAATTGAATATTGAAAATCTGCACGCAGCCGCTGGGGGCAGGGCAATGTAAATAATAAATTGTTGATAATGTCCGCGTTGTCTGACCTCAATGGTGATAATTGACGTTCGCGCTCTCCAGAGAGGCACGTCGATGGATAAAATTGCGGATTCGGCATCGCGGAGGCGAAAAATATTCTCGTCACTGAGGAAGCCAATTAGTTGAGATGCTGATTACTTCGTAATTAAATCACGCTTCGCAATCGCGACACGAAAAAAACATTTGTCTTATTTGTATCGCTGTATTACAGGAAAAGAGGATGGTCGTTTTCGTAGAAGCGACGGTACTGGATGATCCAGCACTCGGTAGAGATTCTAGGTTCCAGAACGTAAGAGATAGACTACAGACATTCAGAGACGGCACCGACGATCTGCAGGTAAGCATTATATTTTATGACTTTGTAATGCATCCTATTGTATAATGCGAATCGATGACGTCTGAGTTTAAAGTCGTTTAATGACGTACGATTTTCATTACTTTCGTCATAGCATAAATGTTTTAAGGTGATACGTGCACTGATGTGAAGATTTTGTTATTCTGATTAACGATTTATTTGCATTTCAGGACAAAATAGACTTTATCGTATGTTTAGGAGGAGACGGCACATTGCTGTACGCTAGTCTTCTGTTCCAGCAGTCAGTTCCGCCAGTTATGGCATTTCATTTAGGCTCTCTTGGATTCTTGACACCGTTCGAGTTTGATAACTTTCAAAGTCAAGTTACAAATGTTTTAGAAGGTACATTGTCATTCGTAACAAACTGAAAAATTAATTGAATGACTGCGATAATTATGTTGGACATCAGCAACGGTTTATTTATGTCTTCAATTTCTTGGGTTTAATATATTCAAAAGATGATAATAGCATAATTGCAAAGTTATGTTGATTAAAAGGTGATTAGATATTCATATTTCAGTAAAAATAAGAAGTATAATTTATTTGTTGCCCAAAAGGTTGCAAGTTTAATAATTCAGTTAATTAGCAGATTGTCATCATGTTATAGTAATAATTATTTGCAATTGTTAATCGATCTTGCTTTTTTCATAATTTAGTAAAACACATTTGATAATTCCGCAATATGTCTTAAAATATTACCCATTTCCATATAAATAACTAATATTAAACTACACTAATTACTATTGAAATAAAACAATTTTTGCAGGTCACGCAGCACTCACATTGAGAAGTCGACTTCGTTGTATAATCATGCGAAAGGGCGAAGAAGGTCAACCGGCCAAGCCACCTACAAACCTTCTGGTCCTCAACGAAGTTGTTGTTGATCGTGGTCCATCGCCATATTTATCCAACATTGACCTGTTCATCGACGGCAAACATGTGACGAGTGTTCAAGGTGACGGTCTCATCGTCAGTACCCCTACAGGATCAACGGCTTATGCCGTTGCTGCTGGTGCCAGTATGATACATCCATCGGTACCTGCGATCATGATCACACCAATCTGTCCACACTCGCTGTCGTTTAGGCCTATTGTCGTGCCAGCTGGTGTTGAACTCAAGGTAATTAATTTTTTAGAGAGATCGGGAACATAATCACTTAAAAATACATTGATTTATTTCGTATAATTGCTACCTAGACTCCTCAATTATACTCATAGCAAAATTTCAATCAATTAAAATGCAACTCTATCCAATAGATTTCAGTATCACTAGACAGTAGGAATACCTCATGGGTATCGTTCGACGGCCGAAATCGGCAGGAACTCCTTCACGGTGACAGGTGAGCCACTCAGAAAGTTATTAATCTTGTGGCTTTCCATTTATTACAGATAGTGGTGAATAACAAGGCACGCAGCACAGCCTACGTCTCCTTCGACGGGCGTAATCAGCAAGAGCTACGCGTTGGGGATAGGTCTGTCCCGTTTTTTGAACTTTCAAGAGAACAAAAAAGCATTCAATTCCTCTCGGTGGCTATTTTCTGTTATACTTTCAATTCTTCCAGAACATTTTTTTCATTAATGTTTATTATCTGTGTGTACATTCTGGTATAAATGGTGTTCAATGATTCTTTAAACATTCATTTTCTTGGTCGTTACTTTTGATTAATACGTACACTACATTGAATAATACCTCATTGAATATACATTTCTTATGTGGACTAAAATTTTCTATTTCAAAGAACAATCTTTGTATACATACTGCCATAATTTAAAACAGAGCTCATCAATTATTTCAATTTTGCTCGAAAGAGACTTGGGCTGTGGGCTTGGATTGCTGTTCCGGTGATGGTATCTCTTAGATTTTAATGTCACTTTTTCTCTGAATTCTTCATGAACGTAATGCATGAAAGGGGTATCTTATCATACTGTTAATTGAAATATCTCTTTAGAAATCAATGAATAAAATGCACATTGTTGCGTAAAGATAATTTCAGACAATTAAAAATTTAGCCTTGAACCAGAGTATTATCGAAAGAAATAAGTTGAGTTGTAATTTCTAGTTAATTGGTCAGTTGTGTAAAATGTCTTGACGTAGTAAATTACAGATAATCAGACTTGATAGTTGCAAATATGAAAGACTAACTGTTCTAAAACAATGTCAAACATGAAGGCAACTGTTAAATAGAACAATTTATCGGTATTTGTTATTATGTTGAGTTACCATCAATTACTATTCAGTTAATTTCACATTTGCAACAATGGGGTTTTTAATATCAGCTTACTCAACAACTTATTGGGTTACTGCTTTAAATATAAAATAATTCAAGTAAACTTAATTAACAAATAAATAAATTTCAGCCTAAGCGTGACGACATCGGTATACCCAGTACCGTCAATTTGCGCAGCAGACCAGATAACTGACTGGTTCGACTCATTGGCAGAGTGCTTACACTGGAATGTGCGTAAACGTCAAAAGCACCTAGACGAGCTGAGTGATCTTACGCATTCGTCGAGTAACGACACCCTGGATAGCCTTGAGAGGGACAGCTAGACCAGGCTTTTACTCGTCGAGTAGTCTGGAACATTAAATCACGCCCGCAAGTGGTAGCGATGAGAAATATAAAAGAGAAAGAGAGACGATATATAGTTATACTTCTTTTCTTTTTTTTGTAGCTCAAGTGCAAGTGTGCAGTTTGTGTGTCGTAAAACGTAATATGTGCGAATATGTACGGAAATTGCGAATGAGGGTGAAAAATTTTTTGTAGCGATATAAAAACGATGTAAACGAAAAAACCTACATGCAATTATTACATGGAATTTCAAATAGCGACCCACATTAAGTAACAATATTTTATAACACGGACCTTGTGTTCCTCATCAATCAAAAGAACAAAAAAAAAGTAATAATAAGAATCATGTAGGTTTTTAGCAGTGTATACTTACGTAGCTTGGAAAGCAAACAAAATGAGAGTTTTTCATAGATTTTACTTTTCATGCATTAGACATCGATAAAAGATTTATTTGTAAGAATATGGAATTCATTTTTAGATCTATTACGTTGTAAATGTTATATGGTATTTACTATATCCTTTTTAATAAAATAATTTTTATATATTTTTGCTGTATCTTACTCTTAATTTTATACATTATGCAAAATGATTATGCAAATATACATTTTCTTTTTAATATTAATATGTAGAATGTTCTTAGTCTTTAATTAATAATTGATTTAAAAGTTTAATACATGTTATGAATAATTTCAGTTCTAGTTTTCAATATACCAAATAAAAAATTTTATACCTTACTGAGATTCTAGGCAAATATAACTACGATTTTTTTATTACTGTTGTGACATATTACTTGAAAATTAATATAAATTAGTAATATGCGTTATGATTTATACAAATAATAATTTCATTTTCCACATATATTTTTAAACTTTAAAAGTCATCTCCGTTAACAATATCACAATGATATAATAAATATAAAAAATCGACAAAGAATATCTATGTTGCACATTGATGTCAGATCTATTGATAATGTGAACATTAACGTCGGTAAAGTTGATAAATATGTGCGTTCAGTTAACATTTCACGTTCATCACATAATTTAGATCATTAATTGATGAAAGTAGTCAATTGATATTACTATTCATTAGCACAAACTTTTACTTCAAGTTTTATGGCCGTCATGAATGGAAATTATTTTAAAAATAATTTTAGACTTATTAAAACTACAGAAGAGCAATTACAGAAAGGTGAAGTTTCGTTTTGCAGATATCATCAAAAACTTCCTTTTTAAATAAATAAATAAACTAGACAAAGTAAATTGTTGCAGAATTTTATTATCTAAGTATAAATTATGAAATCTATGTTTTTTCTAAAAATTGAAAAAATTTTGAATACTTTATAAATATTAAGATTTTCTTGCATCGAAGTAAAAATAATGGTTGCTGTTTACGAAATATTGAACAATATTCCTCAATTAAAAACAAAGTAAGGGCACAGTCATTATAAGTATTCACATCGTGGGTTATTTTAGTCATTTATTACACTTACGTAATACATGTCTTGCTTGTAAAGAAAGATTCGCAATATACCATAATCTTTATTGAATTGATATATTTCTTTATATAAGTCCGATGAGCTGTTCCAGACAATTATCCTCCTATGTGTTTGAAGCCCATTACTCGTTATGAGAAAACAGCATACAAAGTTTCGTTGAATTATCTCTCTTCCATTAGTGGCTGATCCATCATGTTAAAATTGAGAATATTTAATGATAAATCAAGAAAATTTGCGTTCAATAAAAAATTTCTGAATCCTTGGTTTAAACGATATCTCGAGAAACTTTATGATATACGCAAAAACGTTGATATATGATGATATGATATAAAATCGAACACACGCATACCTTTATTATAATAACTACAGTGTAAAATGCCAAGAAGTGTATCCTTGATTCTACCCTCGAAAAGCAACGCGCACAAGCATCCTTTGTAGAATCTCTCCAATTACCATCAATCAAGCGTATAGCAGTTGAGATAAAGCAGAACGTCGAAAAAAAGGAAGGCGCTGAAAACGTATAATAATGTAGTAATCGGAAAGGCTGTTTTGCGTTGAGTTGCAGATTACGAGGCTGTTGCTCCAGGATCAACGTTGGTTTGCAGTACACACACACACACACACACACACATTGTAAACAGAGATCTGCAGAGAGCAACTCGTTCACGCGTACCAGGTGAACGCAATCGATTTCACGAGACACACACCATCACAGCGGCGACTTTCTCGATCGGAAGATCGATCTATACACATAGCCAACGTGTAATATCAAGGCCAGTTCACTCGATTTATTTCAAGCGCAAAAACCGATCTCGAATATACGTACGTACACGCGCGTGTGTTTCTCTCGCCGACTCTTTCCTTTTGCGATTGACAGTTTCGTTTCTAATTTCGTACGGCGTCTAGTTTTCGTTTATGGAACATTTATTCAGATTAGCCTGTGACACGTGTTTTTCAAACAAGAGTTTCCATGAATCTATTTTCAATAAAGTCATCATTTGAATTTCATGAAATACGTATAGACTGAAAGCGCTTGGAATTGAATATTGTACGCTTTTGTCTGAACTGCACGAAATTTGAAAACTCCCCTTTTCGATATGGAATTTTACTTCAGATAATCAGCTATAATTTTATCAAATTTTTCATCAATTGTAGTTTAATAATTGAAAAAAAATTTGTTTGCTTAAATTTAAGAAACTTTTCTCACGCTACATTGTAGATTTTAAAAAGAAATTCTTAGGATCAGCAATAATTACTCTGTTTTTCAGAAAAAAATCTTTGGAGCTTAATATAGGTTTTAAGATGAAGAAACTTTATATTTTATTTTACATAATTTAGACTAACAAGCTTCTTAAAACAAGAAAAAATGTTACTAAAATAAAAATATGTCAATGAAATCAACTTCGACGATTACACAGTAGCTGTTATCCATCATTTGGTTTCGAAAGGCCGGGTGACGAAGGAGGCGGTACAAGACAATTACATTTTTTTAACAAGCAAACTTTTTACTTTTGTATCTTTTTAAAAATAAGTTTTTTTTTAAATAAGGCTTTTCAATGTTTAGTCATGTATAGTTTTCTTGCACGTTGAAAAAATTTTTCGCAATACAAAAATGTCTTTATACTAAAAATTACCAGTTTAGGATTGTGATAAGATATAAATAAAATGAAATTATTTGAAAATAAAAGATCAAATTCTTCTTCCGAGTATGTAAAATAGAAAGAATTAAAGTGTGCAGAGACTGGACTATATACACGTACCTATGAATGGCCGATAAAAATCGCCGGGCTAGAGATACAATTCTAATGCACAACACCTCATACATAACACTAAGTTAGAAACTCTCCCGGACACTTAATTCATTCTCGCATCTTAAGCAAGCGCGCAAAATAAATCAGAGTAGTGTATATATAACAACAATAGAAGCGCAACGGTGTATCGGAGTAGAGAATGAATACAGCCTTTGGAAATCCTATTAGGCGCGCGTTAGTTTCGAGTTTCTCTTTCTATAATCTTACCGCGCACGTGTCTGCCGCTTATCTATGCGTTTTCCATTTCACTCGTTCAATTTAATTAACCGACAATACACATTTTCCCCGCACACACACCATAATGATCATCATCAACGATTTTCTTGGAAGAAATCACTAAATAAATATGACGTCTGTAGGTATAGCCATATATCAACTTGAAAATGTAATGAGGTGATGACGCTTCTCTTCCTTCGAACCGATTATTTTTCTCTTTTTTATATAATTTACCTACTCGCGAGCGTACATCTGACAATCTATAGGATCAGAAGATATTCGGATTTATTGCGTAGTCACCGCCCAACGGATTCCCCAATTTCACATTTCTCTTTGATGATTTAATGATTGTCCCGACACCGAAGTGTGCATATGATTTACATTTTAAACGAAATACACTACAGAAACAGTTCTTATATTAATTATGCAGCAAATTCAAGACTATTTTGCTTTTTTAATACTTCGGACGAAAAACTAAACCTAATAATACTAATTAAAACATTTTACCGCGTAGAAAATATTATGTTGTTGCGGTACCAAAAGAGTCATTTATGTTAAACGTCGAAAATTTCGATTAATTTTTATAAATCAAATCAGCTCACAGACAAATCATATAATAAAACAAATAAAGTAGAATTAGTGGCGACTTTCGGGTATCAATGAATTATAAGTTTGCACAATACGAGTAAATGCACTAATAAACGATTTTCATTGAAGATGCTACTTTGACTCAAGAACAATAGCTGAACTACCTTAATTACAAGGGTCATCTTAAGTGATATAAGTCCCATTCATCTTCAGTTCATATTTGCACTTCATTAGTTGAAATTTTTAAAATAATTTTTCTTCTGATTTTAAAAACTGTTTTATGGTAAATAGTAAGAAATCCAAATTAGTGTTTAATTATTAAAATTTATTGCAAAGCGTACGGTAAATCCTGACTTACGTGTAAATGATACGTTAATGAACTCCTTTTATTATTTTCAAAAGAAATTCAAACTTCTATATCTACATAATCTGCAATTAGAGTATTCGTTAATCGAACAAGAGAAAGTAGTAGGAACAGCAGAGAAGGCACATCAAAATTTAACGTTGAAACTCCACCGCATTGTCCAACAATGACGAAAATCCAGCGATCGCTTTTAAACATTCAAATCAATTTGCAAATCCGAAAAAGAAAAAGGTTATCACCGGAAAATCGGATAAAAGTGAAACTACATTCCATTATACGAAGGAAAAAAGCAATTGGCATTATATCTAAATGCACGAAGTCCAAAGCGCCAAATGAACATACCAAATCAAATTGATAAGCAAGCTCTTCAGCAATGTTTGCAATCAAGTCAATTAGAGAAAAACCGCGCGGGAAATAACACGCAAGACTTTCGAAAAATATACATCAGGAAGCGAAATTCTCGGTGCATTGTATACTATATAGTAGTTCTTGGCGTGAAATCGGGAAGAGATCGCTCGTTATATAGCATTAGATTGGTAATTAAAAAACGTAGACAAGCTTCACTTTAACTTGATAAGCTTAACCGTCTTAATTGTTCGATGAGAATTGCGTAAAATATATTACACGGCGCGGACACATTGTGGAAGAGCTTCATCTCAACAGTGTATTTCTCGGATGGATACGATCTAGTAAGCCAAAAGTGATAGTACGTTTTATAAAAATATGGAAAATTAAGGTTTTCAAGGAAAATGAAGTCCAAGGATCTCCTATCTAGCTATAGACGACGGTTATCACGAACATTGCAGCTTCCGCATTCGAAAGTTTTCAAGCATCGTTTAACGAGCGAAAGACAATTGCTATTGCGGAAGTGAACTTGAGAATTTTCATAAGATTATTTACATTTATGGCTATTCTGAAATTTAAAAAAGATACATACAGCGTTGAACTCATGGTTGTTGAAAGATACTTACCCAAATCCGTCCGCCGATGAGTCAAATGTTTCTCATTGTCGAATTTATTATGATTATAATTTTACTGTTGCTTTTTCTAATATTTTCCTAGACTCAGTATCAATTAAAATACTATTTGTAATTTTATTCTTGTAATACGTAATATTATAGACATATTTTTATGAATTGCATAATTTATGAAAGAAATTCACTTAATTTTCACTTAATAGCATTACATCAAATCTATGACCCATTGGCATAGTTAGCTCACGTAATCAGAATTTTCACTCGCCAAAAGTTTCATAGAAAGCATACAATGCTTAATAAACTGAATAAAAAATAGAAAAAATAGAATTTCAATGAAAGTTTTTCTTGAAAAAAAAGCGATACATTGCACTTACCCAATCATTCTGATTGCTGTTAAGTAAACAAATATCTGCTTTGTCGCGCAAGGAAAAATTCAAGAAAGAATGACAAGGAAGTAAAGGGTGATGCGGACAGGCAATAGAGAAGAAGACAATGGTTTAATCCTTTATATAACGGCTATTATTCGTCCTTTTTTTCTATATCATTACAGTATAACAAACGTAAATACAAATAGAAACTTAGCGGCGCGTGCGCAATTAGCGCTCGTCACTGATTTATCACTTACCTTTCTTAATAAACGTAATGTATGTATGAGTGTGTAATGTGAGTTATGCATTTAAAAGTACGCACGCAAAAAACGAGAGGGAAAGCGAAGAGACGAAGAGACGCAAATTCTCTTGGCTCGTCCGCACCTCCTTATTTTTCGTAGATTCCTCGTGTGTCACACAGACATCACGACATGCACGAGGGACTAGAGAACCTCTTTGGCGAACGGTCGATGCGACCGTCGACTTTATTTATTATTTTTATTTATTTATTTACTTTTTTTTTGTTTTAACAAACGCGACGTTGGTTAAAACACGTGTTTGCGCATACTGTGGTGATCTTATTTTTTTGATGTAATTGCACCATTCAAATTGTTTCTTTCAATGACAGTGTGCAATGAAATCATTGAGTTCCGTATTTTACTGAGTTATACGAATAATATGTTTATATACAGTTCTTATAAAATCTAAGTTCGATTATAAATTCTATGGAGGCTACTTTGCACATTCTCTTAGATGCCGACGACGACGAAAAGACGGGAAGAAACAGAGAACTCGTGAGCCTAAGCGCTCGTTTCAGAGGCCTGGTGCATGGATAATGAGTGCGACTTAAATAAAACGAGTATATATCTTACAAGATGAGCGGTTATGATACATGTAAACGTGAAAAGACTAAAACGCACTGTCTCACTCAGTGTACACACATTGTCATACAATTATATTTGCCGGCGCGCTGTGTTGTTGCGCTTTCACTCATTTCTCAAGTCGTTAACGCTGGCTACGATCGTGAGAAGCTGCTGATATTTCAATCGTTTCCGTTTTTGACACCTCTCGCACGAAGGATTTCCCATAAAAACCAGCTCGTTGTTCAAAACAAAAAGTGTATGCGATCATTTTCTTTCCCTTTTTTTTTCGATCGCTCCGCGTTGTTACATGTATCTGTTACGTACCGGATGCCAACTGACCCGATTGCGCGGCAAACTACAGACGGGAAATGAACGATGCGCGCACACGAGCATACAGGAAGTGAGATTTTTCCGGGTCGAGTAACTGCGAATTGCAAGGTCGCTTCCGAATCCCATTGATCTCCATTTTCCCTTGAGAGTTCGGCAGGAAAAGTCGACCCACGATTGATGCGACTCAACTGTTATACACGCACTCTGTATAAAGTGGAATTGTGTGTAAGGCTAAAAGATCTTATCTCGTTCTCGATGCTCAAACTTTTCTTTTACCTTTACTGTTACTTAAGCCGATTTTGTTTTAACCTTGATTCATAATGAAAGCTTATACGCTGCAAGTCTTGCCAAGGAAACATTCTTACTAGGTCACAAAGACAGGAAAGTCTTTTAGGATAATCGCTATGAGGCGCAAAAATTAATTTCGTTTCTATTGTGTAATCTCAAATGGTGTTTTCCAAATAATGAGTAATATGTGCTGTTCATTTTACAAAAAACACTAATTCAAAAAACAATAGCTATTACCTACTCAGTAATTAGAAAACAAAATTTATTTCATACGACATTGTAAGAACCGTTCGATACTTAAAAGAGGATTTAATTTACAAAATGAAATCTTTTTTCATTACGTTATCAAGGTATAATTTCTTTAAGAGCATTAGAAAGATTTTATCCACGAATATTCGAGTGGGACCATATAATCTTCCGTACGCTTAGCGGAAAAATTGAGCATCATCATCGAGGGGTCTGGCCCCTTTTATTATTCAAGGTCAACTGGAAAATCAAAATTAAAACATTCCAACAACGGTTGCCGTGTTAACGAACTCATCAGACGTCATACTTGCATGTCGAGCGATGAAGCATCGATTGTCTCTCTCGGTCGATGTTCATTTGGAAGGTTTCTTTGTCGATTGACTTTTCACGCCTGCGTGTTTTCAAAGCAAGTTCTTGTGTGTATCGGGCATCGTTAATTTCTTATCAAAATCCGGGGACGCTCGACTGCTTTTGTCGACGCACGAGCAAACAACAAATCGACTTTCTCTTAGCCGCGCTGTGCAGCATAAAGTACCGGCTTAACATTTTTTTCTTCTCCTTTCGTCTTCTCTTGGTTCTAGAAGTGCTCACGCTCGCTCGTTTGTTCGTTCAATCGAGTTTCGATTAATTGCTTCTCCCTCCGTTTGTTGATCAATGACGCAAAAAGATACGCATATACTGTTATATTTATCGAAGACACGTACCGAGCTTTCTTTTTTTTCGATAAATAGAACACGCGTCATAGATCGAAAGTAAAAAAAAACGGAAAATTTAATAAATAAACAATTTATTATGAAAAAAGTCAATTTAAAGAATGCGTCGATTGTTTTAATAAGCCGCAGCAGCCAGAAACGATCTTCAAAAGCATATTTTTCATTAGTATTGTTAAAGGTAAGCGTCATCAATAATTTATAAACATGAAAAACCATCACAGTATGTTTCAGACTAATTCAAATATTCTTTTTCGATCGATATCACTAGTGCCGCCTTAGGTGATTTTCCACAATACATATTGCATTCAAATTCCATTTTTTCTAATTTCATCAACGATTTTTACCAAAACTTGAAAATTATAAGCATACAATGATACACTTACAACATAAAGTAAATATATACAACAATTATTCATTTATTACAATTCTGAGAATATTCTTTTGCTCACTATAAAATATACGCGACGATTAATAATCAGCTTAGAGAGAAAGAAAACAAGAAAAACATAGATAATGATCGAGCTATTGTTGCTTCCAAAGTTGAAGAAAAATAAAAGTCAAGAAGCATCGGAAGGCGATGAATACTGAGGAAACAATTGTGTAGCTTCTCACACTTGCGACTTATGCACAACGGTAGCGCGCAAAATTATTTATTATAGAAAGAATAGAATTACTTTCGTATCAGAACAGCACCAGCAACAGCGCCACAATACTGGCAGCAAAAGAAGCCAATGAAATTTTCCCATGATCCCATGGTTAATTACACCGAGCTGGTTATCATGTAAATTGATCGTAAAATAATCATCAACGCACAAAAAGTACAGCAGAAGAACAATACACACACATAAAGAACGCTCGTACTAACACACATACACACGCATACACGCACGTACACGTAGAAAAAAGAAATTATAAATAGTCAAAATTAATTATGAATTCGCGCTGCGCACGGTTTATACTTCGAACGATATATAACAAAACCCGACGAAAGAAAAAACAACATATTATTTGGCGTAATGCTTCCTTCTAGCAGACATCCTGATACAGGGAGCATTGGGATTTTTCGGTGGATCTTTCCACGTCGATGGACTTCGTCCAGTATTCGTAAGTGTGAAGTCGTTAAATCTCGTTCTCGTTGGATCTTTTTTCACGGGAGTCTCGTTATCGGGACTACCATTCTCGAAAAACCTGCACATTTCACGTACAGGCACTGCCTTTAATCCTCTGTTCAAATCGTGCAACGACCTAGCCCTTTGTTTGCCTTTAGGGCTAGGATTAGAACTCGAGCGCCCAAGATCTTCGGTACTCCTGGCTAAACGACCACCCATACGAGATAAAGATTCAAACAGAGTTAATTTCTCGCGAACCGGAACGTAACGATCTACCCTCTGACAGCGTTCTAAAAGTCTGGCAACATCTTCCTCGCACGGAGGTTCGCGGTAAAGGGAGAGGGATATGTTGGTAGCTAAAGGTGTCCTGGGAGACTTAACACCATCTACGCAATCAACAATGATTTCCGGGAATTTGATTGGTATTCGAGTAATCGTTAGACGCTCTTTTCGTTCTTTGAGTGTTTCTATATTGTTGTTACCATTGGAGATGATGACTGGTAAAGACATCAAAGAACCTCTCTCTCGTACACAACGACGTTCTCGTGCCCTACTCTTTCTTTCAATAGTATCGGTTCTGAGGATACCAGGTTTGACTGTATTGTTTGTGAGCATACTATTTATTTGATTATTCCTGGAATTACTGTTATTATTCCTATTGTCGTCTGGTGCGTAGACTCTTGTTTCCTCAAACCTTACGGTGGTGGTGATGTCGTTCAAAGTTCTAACTGGAGGAAGTTTCTCTTTAGACGTCAGAGAATCCTCAATTCTAGATGACAAAGTACCGAGTTTGGTCACAGTATATTCCTTTTTAAGAGAGCTGTTTAGTGACAGATCATCATCCTCTTTCGCGAAGAGTCTGGTTCTGATTTTGGAACTTCTATGTAGAATATCATTGTTGTTTTCCTCGGCAGCTCTGCAAGCTTTTCTTCTCCTTGCATCCTCCTCTAAAACTTGTCTTCTTCTAGCCTCGTTCTCCCTTCTTCTAGCTTCTTTGTACCTCTGCATCCTCTGTTCTCTGGTGGTGGGTGGTTCTGTCATAGAAATAGCTGAGTCTACCGAATCAACACTTGACCTGCATGGACCAGCACCCCAGGGTAAACTATCATCGCTACCTTCACTACTCTCACTACAACCCCAAGCTCGCGTTTGCATTATACCCTGGTCTTTGCCAACTCCCAAATCCTCGTCGCTTGAGTTACTGCTAGACCAGCCACGCAATTCGCTTCTTGCGCGTCGTCGCGAATCTTCCAATACGTGGACATTACCGATCTTCTCGATGTTTAAGTGTGGCCAACAACGTAACTCACTACGTGAACGACGCCTTTGATCAGTTGGACTGTCGGGTAATGGAACAGGTCCACGAGGACATGTCGTCAAAATCTCCAAGAAGTTAAGACAGCGCTGTGCTCGAAAGGGTGTTTGACGTACGATTTCTGCAGCTATAGCGCGTACCCATGACCACCAGATTGGCTCTGTGTCGGCCTAGAACATACATAATAATTTTCTATTTAATTGGAATTTTTGTTCTCATATTAATTAATAATCAGCATTTAATTTTTAGAATCACAATTACGTTGTGATCTTTTCATACTCATAATGAATTATTTTTGCAACTCTTAATGTCGTTTTCTTCGAACGATTTAGTCAATAAAGGAATCAAAAACTTGTTAAACGTATCAATAATGATAGATTTATTGGCTTTGATAAAAGATTTTAAAAGAGAAATCTTTCTTCAAAATTCATTTTGTTAACTAACAGTGACAAATAATCAATTCATGATTAAAGAGGTTAACGCATCTGTAAACAAAACCTTAAACAAGGTTTCGATTCCTTTATTGTTTACACCGATTCAAAACGACGACGTTGGCGCCTAAAAATGGCAGAAGAGAATTCAATTTGTGTAAGCGACATGAATAAGTTTTTTCAAATAACACTCGCTTTTGGCACGTGCTGTAGATTCTGTTTTTCGTCAGAAAAACTTTCTCATGCCCCTCACTTATGGGGTACCTCTTTTGTCATTAAGACTATTTTTACCTCAAAATAGCTTCTGAATGTATGTTTTATTAATCCAAAAGATCTAATATTTACAAAAGTTCTTTCTTATAACAAGATTTCTTTCTTAACATGTTAATTTGATCGTGATGACTTCAAGACATTGTTGAATTTGATTTTAATAATTTGTTTTGAAATAATTAGTAAGGATTTTCTTTTACTTGAACTTATATAGAATTTTTAATTGAACATCTATTTCTCATTGATACTTTTTTATTCACAGCGAAAAAGAAAAATTAATAGATAGAAATAATAATCAAGTGAAATAATGATTTAACACGAAAACAAGCGCAATATCCCGTGCACTCTAGTTTTTGCATTTACTTTATCCAAACATGCAACGCAAGCATATAAGCTTGTTTAGCTTAGCAAACTTTTCGTAGTCAGCACCGCCACGGCCTACTACGGAAACAGGCTAATGAAAAAGTACTTTAAGCGTATGGAATTTGATAGGTTAAACAAAATGAAACTAGTTTCGACGACAGCAACGTGTTTTCGCGCAAGCGCCAACTTTAATTAAAGGTTATCTAACGTCTTAGAGAAAGTGCAGAGTCCATAACTAAAGTTCTTCCGGAAATTTTTTCTTTGAAAATCTAGTAGTTGCCAATTAATTTCTCCTAATATTTATTGAATTGTAATCAAAAGATGTATGTACTTAAAATAGCGTCGTAATTGCATCAATTACCAGAGCAAAAGATCTGGCAAACGTAAATCGTATTTCATTACGTGCGAGACTATAATCGTGTGAAAAAAATATGATCGAAGGGTTGAAAATAATTAGAAACAGAGGTAATTAATTATTTTCGTTGTTATTATTCGCTTACACACAATAATAAACAGACGGTACAGGATATTTTCCTTAAAATGCACGTTTGATAATTAACTTGGATCTGCAACAAGTAAGTTGACCGTGAGCACGAGCAACACGTTGCATTAGATTTGAAAGTCACTCCGTACCGCGAAAATCATCTGTATGTCCTTTTCAGCGGAAGTGAAACTCGCAGTTTGTGGTCGACGTGACAAAGCGCTTTGGTCTTTATGGTTGCTGGATTGCAATCGGAGAGCTTGGAAAAATGTGCATACTCTCTCGCGCGGCGGCCTAATATTTATTCCAAACATATTCTTGAAAAGATTTATGTAACTGGATTATTTATCCGTAGATATTATATATGGGAACTATTTTTGGTGAACTAAAACTTTCATTTTTTGGTAAGCTGTTGCAAAACACTTTATTTTATGAAAAAGTGAACAATTGTATGTGTGTGTGTGTATAATTGCCTTCTTTCGCACAGCATGGGCATTATAAAATTCTAGAACAAAGTGTGCATGCAAATTAATGACTAATTACACCATCGGCTCGACGGCGCTTGGAAAAACTAAATAAATTATGATTTCATAAGGATTTTTAGGGTAATTAATGGTGCGTGTATGCAATGATTGGCTAATAATAATTTTTGTATTACAAAAGCTGCGAGAAGCGCGATATTTATGTCAAGCTATCTGAAATTAAAGTATCGCAAGATATCCTGTTAAATGCCCATGATGTCAGGAAAATTAATGAACTAGATCTCATAATCATCGTCGTCAGATATGAAGCTGTCGGAGCAATAAAAAAAATCATCGACGTCGCCTAACGGAATAGCATAGGAAACGAGAGCAAAGGATTTATCAGCTTGTCGAGCGAGAGCGAGTGCAGAACAGACGGCCTAATTATGCAGATCGATTGTTCGCCGGGATACGCGTCCGGCTGCCCACGCCTCGCGATATCCCGTTTGGCCTGATTCCCCGCTTCGTTAGGCTTGCTTTTCAGATTCATATTGCGGCCTAGCCACGATGATTAGAGCCGATAGCCGCCGAGACGTTATTTTCCCTTTTGCAAAACTCGCGGTGGCGACGACGACGACGACAACGACGACTATCAATACTCGATCGCATTCTAATTAGGGACAGATAGACTGGTTTTCACTGCATCATTTTTTTATCGTTAGGTTAGGATAACGTGATTTTTTCCTTTTTTAACTTGGTCGAGATACCAATTGATGGCACTTGGATCAGATAGGTGATTTAATTATAAACCCAAGAAACTGCGATTGCCATAAGGTGGTATCGTTACTGCGTTATATGTGTATGTAAAATGTATTAATGATGTCACCTTATGTATATATATCGAAGAAACCAGTGGGAAAACTTGTTTATTCATGGAGAAATCTATTATACGAGGGTAATACCGAGAGATTTATCGTTGCACGCGCAAGAACGAAAAGGAAATTTGTACTTTAAACCGTTCGTGCGAGATATATCAACCGTATGGTTACAAAAGTCCTCGTGATATGATGTAAAAAAACATAAACGCTTTTTCTTCTCTTAATCTCGAAAAAAAAGGCAGAGGAGTTATATTTCCGTAAATGACATTTATATTGATAGAATTTTTTTATCAGTTGATCCGACTAATGACGATGAAAATAAGCAGTCGTAAAAATCAATTTTTTTAACGAGCTGTGAGATTTTACAACCGTATGAGGATAAAAGATATATCATATCAGTTATTAAATATAAGTTTCTCCATTTTTTGTGCTATTATCGTGGAATGAAAAAACAACTCCTTTCTATATTTTTAATATCAGAAGCTCGTCCAATGAAGACACCAGCACGTAACAGGCTTACAGCATTGTCTATACATACGTAGTGTCGTGTCTTACCCAAACGAGTCATTGTCAGTCGGTTGCGCACTATCAAAGAAAGTGAAAATCCACGTCCTTCTCGTCCCCCCCCCCCCGCATTCTTCTTTCGCGCCGTCAATGAACGAATACGAAACAACACACAAACCGAATCAATGGAGCTGCGTTGAGTCACCAGGTTAACGAGGTAGTAGCCTAATGAAGCACAGACAATGGAGATTCTCTAAAAGCCGAACCTCATTTCCTCTCTGCAGCGATGGGAAATGCCGTTACGCGAATTAGCACCAAAACAAAAACCGATTTCTTTTCTTTCTTTTTAGAGTCTCTGTCTATATGAGTAAGAATATTTACATCCGAAACGTGCAGGCACTTAAGCCTGCCATAATTTTCGTCGAGATAACAGAGACGCACTTATCTACATCCTCGATTTTCACGGTGTGTAAGCGAGAGAGACTGCATCGGTCACGGTATAGTGTATTTTAAAGGGGCGAGCTTGTGAATTTCAAATTTGCTTCTACACTTCATTCTTCACGTCGTTTGTTTGCTTTGTTTAATCTCGCAACCGAGAGGTGTTTAATTGTTTGCAAGCTCGGTTCAGTGATTTATGTAGATTGATTGTGCGTGATCAGGAGAATGCTAAATCGCTAAACCTGATTTTTATGCGACTGCGAGTTATATTATTTTTGTAATGCTCTGCTCTGAATCGTCGTTTAATTTTATCATTGCGAGTATGTCCGTTTTATATGAAATTTAAACTAGAGGACGAGTAAAATAAATAACGCAGGGTTATTAGAATGAAACTTCATCATTATTTCTTTAGCTTATAACTGTATTATAACCTCGACACGAATAATTTTTTAGCGTTTTTTTGAATTATGTTAGTACCAAAGTAAAGTACGAAAATCTTACAAATTTTAAAGAAAAATTTTTTAACCAATGCGCTTTACCAATTCAATTCTCGCATTCAAAAAAACTCTTCAATTGTTCGGTAATTATAGTCGGGAAAAAACCGATTTTACAGAGGATCTAACAAGCATTGAACTTAAATACTACACGTCAAGTTAGCGCATTTCCGTGTTCCTCGACGAAAATAAAGAACAAAATATGCACAACGCGTTTGTAACGGAAGTAACGAAAAAAAAAAAGAAATGACGCGAAGGTGAAAGAACTCGCCTCGTTTACAGCATCAACAAACGCAAAGTGCTTCTGTAGACACGCGGGAGTAGTCAAACGCCTTAATGACAAGCGCGAGCAGAGCGCGCTATTTTAATTAAAATAAAGAGAGAGAGAGAGAGAGGCTATAGGCAGTGAAAGTGTTGAAGGAGGGAAAAATCACGAAGCTAAGATAAGGCCCGCGCCATTTGCATGCAATTAACTTTTATACGAGCACGAATAAGGCCCTTTCGTTTTCTTTTTCGTTTTTGTATCCTTGCCGACATTTTTCTCAATAGGTGATATGACCTTTCTTTTTTCAGAAACATCATTTATGGATATTTTTAAATATTATGTTGTTGTTATAACTAATTGCTAAAAAAATTTTGAGGGATTGTTCTGTCCCATTGCATTATTTTTGTAACATATTGACTTTATATAAAAAACAGTCTAATTTTCTGAATTATACTAACACAAAATAAACCGATTCATAAGTTCCTAACTCATTAAACTCTAATCGTTTCTTATATGAAATAAAAACTCAAATATGGATACCACGAAATTACTTAACTCTAATACGTTGCCTGTAGCGTTTAAAAAAGATGACGACTCCCCTTCTCCAGCGTTAAAACCCATCAATTAATAACCACTTATTCTCAGTTACATCAGATCCCTTCCGAAGGTCCACTTTATTAAATCTTCCATAGCTATACGGTAAACCATCAGATACGTGTCGCAAAGATTAAAGACAAAACAAACATTTTTCAATCCCATCAGTATTGTTTTGTTGTCTCTGCAACTGCCTTTGGTATGCCATGCTCATCAGCATGCCGGATTCGCTAGTCTAGGGAATGTACGTCTGGCCTGGAGCATCGCCAGCGGAATATCGCATCACATCTCTCCAATACGTAATCGCAAATGCAGGTCTACTTGCTATCTGCCGGAAGACTTAGAAAAGTTCTTTTTTTCGAATATTGATCGTCGCGGTGCGACGAAAATTTTTTCATTATTGCGCAAGGAAAAATGTTAGTTTTGTGAAAGCACATATATATGATTGACGATAATACCGTCTCGACCGAGGGTAATGACGTAACTTGCGCGCAAAATTTCATTATTTTCGAAAGCCCAGCACGAGTTAGTGTGTACTCTGTCCGTTAATGTTACTTTTTTTGACAATCTTTTCTTCCTGATGATGATGATGATGACTATTCGGCACTAATTGTACTTTAAGAGCTGCGTGCACGCTTTAATATCGCTCTGCAAAAAATGTTTCTGATTTCATCTCTACATACTGAAATTCGTAGTATAGAAACGATGGATAATAATAATCTTCACGTACTGAAATAAACACTGAATTGCGTATGATTCCTGTCGAATATTACCAGCTAATCTTATTGACGAGAAATAAATTATTTTTCAAGTTCTTTCTAATAAAATACACGTGTATACCTGCTATTGATCGAATAAACTGCCCAATAAAAGATCCTAATTCGCACGTTCATATACGCGTCAAAAGAAATTTTCGCGGGAGCTACGTCTATATAAGGAAAAATAGCCTAAGACTTTATTGTTCTCGGTGATTTATATAGTCATGGTAAAAGAGAGGAAACAATCTGGAATTAAATCAAGCCAGTAATCGCCACCAATGTTCCCGCGAGTGCGAAGAAAGCGTAATAGACTTTTGCGCGTATCAGGAAGTTGACTTACCCAGAAGGTGGCAAGGCTGTCTCCTTGTGAGTTACTGAGGGTGAAGCCAAGTGCAAGGGCGTGTGGTTGACAAATGCCTGGTGTTGCTTGGCGCAGATTCAGTGCACGCAATGCCAAGCGCATCGGGGTTCCTTCTACCCACAACCAGCCCATTCGTATCGAGACGAAACGACGTTCTGCCAGGTCCTCCACGTACAGTTCACCTGTTGCGATTCGAAAAAAGTTACGTTAGTTGATTCGATTGTACAAGTACCGATATGTTACGATGTTGTTTGATAACACGATAAATTAGGTAGTGATCATCCTATAAATATATTACGAAACGAGTTTATAAATTCTGCTCAATAGTCCAGAAAACGTTTTCAAATTATAAGAAAAAATGTATGTAGATTCGTATGCAAATATTCGTGTTTTTAGAATCATTCTTGATATAAATAAACACAATTGAATATTTAACAAACATTTATGCGTTTTTTAGCATATCGTAAATGCGAGTATAACAGTAGGTCAATATAATTCACACAGTCAGGCATTCGATAAAACATCGAACATTCTCGCTCGGTCCTCCACAGCTATTTCCCAATACAATGCCGAGTACGTTGACACGAAATAGGCGAATAATAGGAATCTTGTCATTAGTTCCACGCGATATACCTGCCTTGTCTAACAACCTCTCCGCCCGCAATAAAAAAAAGAAAGTTTCGTTCGAGCGTAAGCTACGTATCACGCTAGTCTTGTACACGCCTATCTGTCCGTCTCTCTCTTTCTCTTTCGCTTTCTATCTGTTTGTGTATTTATCAATGTAATACACCCTCGATTGTCACTAAAAAGTCATTAGATCATCATGTTTGCATAGTTAACCTCGCGCTCCGTCATATAACAGCGGGAACCTGCGCATTTGTTATTGAGAAAAAAGAGATAGCATCCTCAAGAAGCACGTAGGTTGACACGAAGGAGAGCACCCGCCGCGTGCGCAATTCTATTTTAGTAGAAGAAACGCCGTCACGAGAATAACTGCGGGGGATGATGATAAGCCACTCGCCACTGCTTCGCTCGGGATGACGCACGAAACTGCTGTCATGGCGACGAGCATTAATGCTTAAACTTTGTTCGTTGAGTGTGAGCGATTAAAAAAATGATCTACATGTCTCAATAAATAGAGGAATTTTATGAATTGTTTGCGTGCATTTTCAATTTTCTTGGCAACTGCAGTATTGATTTTCACTCTTTAATCTTCAATGTTCTTAATTTAAAAAATAAACACGTGAAAATTTTCTATATTGTGGAGAAACATGTTTTTTTAATTAGTAGCAAATATTAGTATCTTTATATTTTGTCAACGTTCGAACTGAATTTTGAATTTAGTAAATTTTTTTTATACAAGTGGTTTACGAGTCTTTTATAATGCAAACTTGAAATGTATCAACTCGTAATCAACTCGCGTCCTACCCAAAGTACAACGTTTTCCGTAGACGGCATTCTCTCCCCATTGAAAAACACTCGTCGATCGCGAAACAATCCAATACAAGAATCGTTATCAAAGAGAAAGCAGTCGCATTGGGCGATCCCCGCTAATTTCACAACCCGAAGGCGAATGTTTGCATGGCAGCAACAACGACAATAAGGGCCCGGCTTTGAAAAAGGACAGAACCAGCGTAAAGCACAAAATGCAATCGCATAGCGACACGAGGCAAAACAAATCTACGACAAGGCCTAATTACATAATTACGTAATTGCGCGTTTTTCCCCTTCTCCGCCTTCTTCGCGAATAAGAAGACAATGGTCGCTGCGCGAGCGAGCGAGCGAGCGCGAGAGCTACTTCGCATGGTGTCATTAAGCTAACTGCACTGGATGGGTGCAGCCAGCGAGCAGCTACCTCCTTCGGACAAGGTTTTTTCAAAAATAAAGAAGAGCGCGATTCTCTCTTTCACCTAGTTTCGTTTTATGCCGCTCTCTCGCTCGTTCTCTCTTGGAATCTGTAATTTGTAACGGGCGCCAGACGCCTTTGCCCGTTATCGATGACTACTACTGCTAGTCCCAGCAGACATTTTGCTTTTCGTCGGTTCCCATGGACGAGAAACAAAGCTTTCTCGGATATCTGTTAATGATACATAAAATCAAGCCTCGTCTTCATTGAAAACTACTCCCATCTTTACAAACAATGAGTCGGCCAATTGATTTTTATTTGACGATTTCTCGGGATACAGTTTACTGATTTTCGTCTTCGCGTCATACATTGAGAAAATTACGAGTTCCCCCTTTCAACTAATTAATGTGATAATAAGGGGTGCTTTGTCAATTTGACAATGATAAAAACAAAGAGCCGTTAAAGATAACAACCGCTATATAAGCGACATTCTAACGATTGTCGACCGAGGCTATTATCACATCTATACGGCATTGTGACCGCGACGAACGTTCTTGAATTCGATTTCGCACGCGCGCTAATCAATGTGAGCGATAAAACAATGCGGTTCAAAGTTTATATAAAAAGTGGATGTGGTTATTTTCTTGTTGTCACCTCCACAGTGGTCATTTATTTTCAATCATTATATGCATTGAAAAACTGTGATTACTAATTTTCAGTGAAATGCACCAAGTCGAATCGATTGAGATTTGCAAAATTGATTATTAAATTCAATTAAGAGAAACGATAGACACAAATTAAAGGGATAGATCTTAATCGAGTGAAATGATAAAAAAATAAAACTTACATCATTCCAAGAGTATAAAGTTCTCAAAATAAACAACTATGCACCTACGACGGTAAGATTATATTATCATACACTTTCCAAAAAGAAAAAAAAAACAAACAAAAATCCATCAGACAAATGCATTTTTGCAAAAAATACAAGTTAGTCCAGGTTGAGCGAGGAGCCACTTGATTTACAAGCTAAACATCACATACAACGTATACGACGACAATAGTAGTAGTGGTCGTTATCATCGTGGAGGCATATGCGTGAGAATGCTTGAACGTTTATACGTGTGTGCGTGTGTGCGTCTGTGGGTAGCAACTTCGAAAATTTTGTTATCTTTGGTCGTTTTATTTGCAGGAAGTTGGCGCCGTTGCTGACGTAGCTGTTGTCTGCCATAGATTGATACACATTGTTTCGTTTGTTTCTTTTTTACTATCGACGAATTCCGATAAAAACCGCTATCATTTTCGTACTCTTCAGTGACTAATGAAAATTTTTTTCAGTATTATCTAACGTCACGGCACAAAAAAAATGAATGACTGTATTTCCACTCGTGAGCAGAAAACGATTTACCTTAAAAGTAGAAACTTAAATCGTTGACAATCAGTAAAAAGACTGCAGCGACAGAACCGCCAAACAAGAAGCCCCTTCTCATAGAACCGCAAAGCCAAGAGAGTGAAAGTCCAATGACTCTTCTCAACGCACATTTTCGCGGCAGACGTAACATTTCTGCACACCAAGCGAGGTAAATATTTTTCGTGGGGGAGTACACCGACTTACTTTCATTGTAATAACGTAACCGTCAAAAAGTCCCGCATTCTCGGGCTTCCGGGGAGAGAAGTACCGCAGGCACAGAGAAGGAAGTGAGAAGTATAGCGAGGGGAACCCTTTTTCACCGAAGGTAGCTTGGTTAGTTGAAGTGAAGGAGCATCGCGCATTTTTTTATTTGGAGAAAGAAATCTGAGCGACTCGAGTTGCTAGACAATTAGATTTAATTATTATTGCAATGTTATCGAATACGCCATTAGGTTATTTTTCATTACGGCGAAGTAAAAATTTTTCCATATCATTTAGCATAAATTTTATGAATATTAGATTATTGTAGAAAGGTCCATAAAATAAACATTAGATATGATTTTATACGATATGCAACGCAAATAAGTATTACATGTAAACATTCATTCGTAAATCTACCAAACTCATTAAGGCGAAAGCTATACTTAATACACTGTAGTCATGAATGGCATAAGAAGGAAAATTGATCCACCACCCACGACTTGTATACGTGCGTATATCGCGGAAGCTTTTTCGCGAAAACGTTAGAGCCGCCGCCGCCAAGCATAACAGAAAACAAACAAACGACTCTAAGCGGGTAAAGAAAATGCCGTGGCATTAGCACGTCAATGTCGAGCTGTCTTTACTACGACAATGACGGCGTGACGCGAACGCGTGCGCCACTAATGACGGTCAACTTGTAGTGTATGTGTGTGCAGATTGCATAGCTGCTGCAACCAACTATTTCTCCTTTTTTTTACTGGCGACTTTGCGATGAATCTAACGGCGCCTATTCTTTTTAGATTGGAGCGGAGTAAGAAATTTGAGGAATTTATTGAAAATTTTCTGCAAATAAGAGATAGTTTACACTAAATTCAATGTTATATTTCCACAGTTATATATCTGCATGTAAGTGCTTTTATAGGAGTCGAACAGTTCGATAAGTTTCTCAATGAAAATTTTATGGTATTCATCTACTTCCTCCTCTATTGGATTTTCTATTTTCGGAACTTTTATTGGAGATCCCACTATATAAAAAAGTAATTGCCAATTACGTCTCGGTATTCCATAAGTCGACGACTAGCAGAACTCACCGACTACGTGGATTGGTGTTCTTATAGGCTTGAAAGAAAAAAAATTCTTAAGAATATTTCCTCTGATTACAATACTCGGAAACAGGCCAAACTTTTTAATGGAAAAATTTTTAATCTTATGCAAGAGAGTTCCTTCCTTTGGATGGAAGATGTCATAATAATCAACCTCGCCAAATGAAAATACAGGCACAAGTGGTGTTCTGAAAAATAATTAGATTTGATGATGATAAAAATCAAGATGAAGCTTCATATATTCTTTAACTGACCCGTTTTTCAATGCTGTTCTAATGAATCCTTTTCGATTTTTTAAAACTATCCGATAAACACCACGTCGAGTCCTGAATGCATCATCGGAACCGCCAACTAGGAGAATGAGCGCGCGACTTTGTTTTTGTGTTTGTGGTTTTGTCGATAACAGGTATTGCATGCTCTCTTTACTACAGCTACAACCACCTATTTACGAAACAATATTATACTGTGAATGAAGCCAAACTATAAAATAAATCTCACCGAAAATAAGTGCCAGCTCTCGGAAAAAAGGCACGTAGAAGAATAATCTCAGCGAGAGTATCCTGAATTCCAAGCCAGGAAACATGTCGTCGCAATTAGTACAATTTGCCCCAAATGCGGAAGCAAATCCAAATGCAAATAGCCCATGCGGAAATCCACAAAGTATGTAGTTACTCGATGGATCGAGATCAGTTGTTTTTATCAGTTTCACAGGAAAATAATTCGCGCAATGCTTCCAAATTTTTAGATTTCTCAACTTTTCGGTCCATTTTCCACTTTACATAAAACCAAATCGATGCATATAATAAAAGAAATACCGTACGGTTGATTATCAAGGGTTTACCTTCGACCACCTCGCCAATGCGCATCACTGTCGTAATAGAAATATATAAGATAAATCACAAAAAACGCTTTCACCCATCTCGAGCCGAGAAATAATACCGACACAGAAAAGACGCAACTGCAAACGAATACGCAAATAAACGTGTAAAGGGTTGCGACAAAGCATATCGACTGCAACTTTTTATCAAATTCTGAAGTAGAAGATGTCAAGTTTTCGTTACACTTTGTCATTGCCTTTTCGACGACAGCACTTAGCAACACATTGCCTACGACTAACAAAGTGAAACTAATTAAACTAACTAGCAAAACTAGTTGATACTTTGCATTTTATCATATCTTAATTACATAATTATTCCCGAAAACATATGTAATTCGCAGTATTTAATTCTCACGCTAAACACAAACTAAAAATTGACAAGCATTTTGAAAAAATACCCACGTCAAAAATATATATATATATAACTTATCTGGTTTTTCAGTTGGGAATACTTCAATGTACACATGTTAATAAACAAAATCAGCAAAATACAAATCTACGTAAATTTGATGTTTGTAAAATGCATCAATTAATTCTTATTAATAAAAAAGAAATGAATAGATGTTTATCTTTTAATAAAATATTTGCTTTCGTTTAGCTAATTCACCTTGAAATTCGAAAACCGTTTGTGGACCGAAAATATACGTATTCTATGACCAAAGAGTCCCAACGCGTGCTAGAAGCCACATTTGAAAAAACGGTTTTTTTTTTCTGTGGGGCCGCAGATCCATGGCGGCGATAAGTGGTAGGTCAGCCGTACCAACTGCCTTCTAAACACTCGTGTTCGCTCGACAGCTGTTTTTTCGTATTCACTAATCGACCAGTCAAATCTTCGATAGCTACTAAACTCATGCTAATTAAATATCGCGTTTATACATCTGATAAAGCCTCGAGCGTAATTGGGGAAGGATATCCTAGTTTGTAAGCTTAGAGATGGATCATTGATGACTTGATTATAACAAGCACTCGTTCTTTGATCTTTCCGCAGTAGGAGAGTGCAGTTAGACTTGCGCGTGAATTCTGCGAAACATCAACACCCCAATTAAAAAACAAAAACACAAGCATTATTTGTAGATGCCACGAGTGTCTCTCGAGAAAACGCTGCGTGTACGCGTTTACACATACACACCGAAAAAATTCCAAGTTCTCGAGAGTCACGTTGTCGTAGATTATAGCAGATAGAATGGTAAGTGCGTTCGAGACGACGACCAGCCACTCGAGGGATTGGATTTCCGTGGGAGAGAGAAAAGACACGTCTAGTACATACACCAACCCGGAAGAGGGCGTGAGTCGTCTTCCTCCTCTTTTTCACAGTGAATAATCCACTGCGTCGATTTATCGAGTACCAATAAAAAAGTAAGATGGTTTAAAGAGGAAGAGAGCTTCGAAAGTTTCGCACGATTACTCGTCCATTGTTTAATCGGGCGTGTAATTGCTCACTAATTAATGGGCGATGGACACGCATTGTTAATTAGAGCAGAGAGCATCAAAGGACGAGCGATTTGTAAATAGAAATCGTTCCATCCAAGTCGATTAAAAATACTTTTGGATGGTAAAACGTTTTTTTGTAATCTCGCGATTATTTCTGTTCTTAATTCTTTGTTATTGTGAAACGTACTGTTACGTATGAATTTTAATTATAATCCATCACAGACATATGACACATTGTGCAACGCGCATTAAACCCCTTCCAAAAAAGACCCATACAATAATCACGGTCTAAGATATATTCCCATGGAGTCAAAAAATCCGGTCTTATCGCGACATTTTTCATTCGTTTGACACTGACTCGTCAGCGAAACTTAAGGGACATCTCTCTCTTTTTATTTATTTTTTTTTTCCGGTCTATGAATTATTTATCCTCGCTGACGAATTCGCAACGCACGTCGGAAACCCCGGGACGAATGGCATAGACATACGTGAAAGTTACGTAACACGCTAGCGGCAGCAGCAGCAGCAGCAGCAGCTTCTTGTGTTTAGTTGTACTTACCCAGGGACATTTTTTCGACGTAGATTTGTCCAGAGAATCACGGTTTCGTAAACGTAACATTTCGAATACAACATTGGAGTATCTAGATGGAAGTAAATAGAGTCAATTATATTTTACTGGGGCATGGAAAAATCTTTCAAGGTAAAGTCGCCTTCAGTACATTGTCTTTCCAAGGGTAACAATAAGAAAAAATTGCACGACTGTTTTTCTTGACGGCTTTCCACGTAATTTATTTTATTTGTAGCGTGTGCGTGTGGGCCTTCAAATGAAAATAAAAATAATCAATTTAAAAATTATCCTAATTATTTTTTTACTGCTATCGCTCCAATAAACGACAATTAAAAATCACTAATAACTAATAATTGTACAGACAAAATAATGTAATTGAGCTTTGCAATAGCGAGAAGAAAGAATCGTTAATTTAAAAAACTGATAATGATGGAAAAATTATATTCTTTTTCGCAACGTTTAATCCACCATAAGAAAATAATCATGACGCTCTTAAGTATAGCATGGAATCCCATGCAAATTCATGGATGCATTGAACCCCTCCCGTCGAAAATTAATTTCTCTCTGAAGGTTAGGGAGATTATCATAAGCGAATCGTTTACATTTACGTACGCCGATTAATCGCGGCAAAGGGACTTGACGGTTAGTAATGATGATGTTGTCTTTTTGGGATAGCATCTGAGTCATCTAGTTTTTCAGGCTCTATTTAACTTTCAAATGGTATCAAGATCTCATGCAGATTAATTCATTATTAGAGCAGGGAGAACGTAAAGAATAATCAAAGGGTTGTTGGGTTATTGAACAGGAGTTTATTTAATTGATTGAAGTCAAGCATAGCACCCTTTGTGCTTATGCATAACTAAAGCTTGGTGTGACGCAATAAAAAAAAATTCACACATACTTAATTAGTTTTTTTACTTTTGATTTTTAACAAGTGATTTCAATCAAAAGTTTTTGAATCAAGAACTTTTTCTTGTGTTTAGAAAAATTGTCTCATTGAAATTTGTTTTAAGAATGTTACAAATAAAATATTTATTTTATAATGAAAAATGACAGAAGGATACAACTATGAAAATAATAATGTCTGTCTTTGATTTCACTAATGCTACATTCTCAGTTGAAAAGAGCAACAAGAAATGCCCTCATTATTTACCAAGGAAAATTTTCATTGCACACATCTCGAGCCATCAAGTTAAATTAATAAGTACATCAAAGTAGATACTTAGCGAGAAAGCAAAAAAGCATCGGAATGTCCGAACAAGCAGCACCAGCAGGTACAAGCAGCAGCGCGGTGATCAACAAAGTGTACACATATACAGACGCTTAAAGCGCGCGCGGCACTCAATTAAAGCTTGCACTTTGCAGGGGAAAAACGGTATCGAGTGTTGTCGTCTTCGTCGTCGTCGGTGGCGATAATTGAATAACGGACGGTATGTGTGCTGCAACAGTTGTCTTCTTTCGTTGTGTACTCATTTTGCGAATCGTAATTGCTCCTGTCAAGAAGGAGGTTTATTAGCGGACGTTAATGTTGGATATGTGAATAGAGGTGTACCTAGGATGAGGCTGCTAGTATGTAGTACAAGTGTATGTAAAGGTGATTGCCGGGTTCTTGCGAGGAATTGATCTACTTAAATGCGATTCCTTTGCGTGCGCTATATATGTCGAACGACTGGTCATTTGCTGTTGCGCGAGTAACTGTGTTTCTCGCGAGACTTTTTATTTTCTTTCGCGCGCACGTGTTGTTGTCCTGATGCTCCTTTTAGCTAAGCTGTATATTCATGAAACTATCATTACTCTTCGCGTCCGTCGGTCTACATTTTCTTCGGACATGCCTACATTTTAGTGAAAATTGGTTACTATGGACAATGGGTCAGTGGCATGCGGAAGCCTTCCCGACGCGTCGATTATCCGAATTTTTGCCAGTACGGCAATTCCACTGGAAAATCCAAGCGAACAGGTGCAAAGAATGCACAAAAGTTCAAGTACGTTATACATAGTTATAACTGTATGAATTCGATAGATAAAAGTGAAATTGCGATCAAAGTGGCCACTCGATTTTACCAAGTGACGTCAGGATGATGCAAGTCATTGAAAAGCGAAGCGAACACAACAACTGTCTCTTTTGATCTCTGACACAATCGTCACAGGTGCACAGCAACGACAGCAAACGCGAGCTCGTTAAAATTGCTCTGATAGACCAACAGGCGCTGGTGATCGCGCATACCGCGCCCGCCCGTTCCAAGTTTCACTTCGTTCGCGCGCACCGTTACACCAAGAGTCTTACCGTGTGTATTTACTACGCCGCGCCGCTGTGCTTCTGTCTGTTTTTCTTGCCTTTTTGTTCGTAGAACAATTTAACTCCTTTTTTTCCTTTGCTCGCAAATAGTTTGTACTGGCTACACTCTTGTTAACGAGTTCTTTTTTCTTCGATCGTGCAACTTTATTTCTGTTTGTTGTATGCGTGCTCAGATTCATCATTTTGACTGGTTTCTAACAAACATCTTTTGCATAGTAGATTACGAAAATTTCCAGCCATTTTTTCGTTTACAAAATAGGAAAGAATAATGTTTTTAAAGATTTATTCTCGTTCATCACGCTAGCTTCGTAAATTACTAGCGCAATTCAACTTTGTCTGTCAATAAGTTACTGACAGTTGGGTAAAACCACCGTTAGCTAAATATTACCTTGCAGAAGTAATTTTGAAACTTATTGTTAATATTTTTGTAGAATGAAAATAAAACTTAATAAAAGTTTCCTCCCCGGACGAAATAATAACCTGTGTAAAAAAACATTCTACTGGAGTTGGTCACAAACGTAAAAGCTGTCAAAGAGAAATTTTCTCTAAAAATATCTTTGCTTCAAAAGTCAAGGAACCCACTGTACGTGTGTGGATCAGCGTGAAAATAAAGATAGAAATGAAAAGACCTTGACCCTCCTTGTAAACTTTTCTGTCTGGTCACGCGACTAGATCAAAACAGATCGCTCATCGATTGGCTGTCGATTTCTTTTTTCTATTTAATTCAAAATAAATCGTCCGGAAACAGGAATCACTTTGTGCATTGAAGATTCCGCATTCAAGAAGGAACATATTCAAACGTAAACTTGTCAATTTAACTAAATAATAAAGCAATGTATGATATAGTCCGTAATAGGACGACCTTTTTTCAGTAAATCGTGTGTGTACATTGGCTATTGATTATTTTATGATTAACGTTATTTTTTGC